TCTACACGATTATAGTCTTACCTCTAGGTTTTGCACTCACATTGTTGTTGCCAGTGTGGATTCCGTCCTTGTCCTGTGTATCCATTTTCCTCTCTTCGCCTGATTAACGCCTCGATTTCCCCGGTCATCCGAAACTGCTCTAACCATCCTTCCTTTTGAATTCACTGTGAAATTCTAGTCATATCTTTGACGTTATTCACCATAGCTTCGAAAGACCGAGTTGTCTAGTTTCGTAGCAACTCACCTCTTCCCTATACCTACCTTAGACAAGACATCACCATGTGCTTTATATTTTGGGACGGATATCCACATTGGCAGCATGGTTTTCCTGCTCCCGGCACGTTCCTTCTGTATAAGTAAGCATTGGACCTAATGTGCTCGCTTCTTTCTTGTGTGGCAATGCTAATCTGGGCGCTGCTAAGGTTATGATACAGATTATTTTATATGATAATCAACCAAACCCGCATGCTTCCCGATAATTCAAAATACTCCACCACATCAATTTTTCACTCCAAAAGAGATCGGATTCTACCTAAGCCTCATCAAATCTACAAGTACGACCTACTATATCCTCATTCCAATGATCACACCACTTGTCGACTTTCTCTGGCCTGAGCTAGTCACCGAGTACACGCCCACGCCAATATTTACATCCGACGGAGGAAGCAAAGCATGGCGCTTAAATCTGAAAGACAGTTCCTTGGGATGGACGTCGGAGGGATCAGGACAAGTTCACAAGATGATGCAAAAGATGGATACAATTTCGAAGGGCGTAAAATTTGGAATTTTGACTAGTTTTTATAAATCGAGCTTTGCGGGTGCCAAGGCTTCAGTTGCGAGAGTGCGGTCGACATTATAAAAACTGCCATGGTTGGATGGTGCGGTGGTACATCGTCTTGGCCGGTCTGCCAAGTAGAGTCTGGATAGCTTGGACAAATATCCCACTCGAGACAGTAGATCGCTGGTTCAAATCCGGCAAAACACAACCACATTTCTCGCGGCGCTGGTATGCATGGATGACCAAAGGTTTCGAAATTCCCTTTGGTGGGTACCTACGGAGGAGCGTCGACTGTTTGTGTAAGCAAGCATACCTCATAGTGGTATTTGCAAATGAAATCCAGAGTATGAGTCTCTCTAACGTCAAAAGAGTCATCTTACATGTATAAATAGCACCGGCCATGTGTCATAGCTCTGTAGCTGAAAACACATTAAATGATTTAAAAAAAAGCCTCCAGATAGCTCCGTAAATAGTATTCTTTAGGACTGGTCTACAGGTGACTTTGGCGATCGGGGGATAGTAATTTATCACTAATCTGGTTCCATTTCCTTGGTTCTGCATACTAAACTAAGTGGATGACAATATACTACTATTGTGAAAAGTACATTTAGAACAGTAACTACTCTTTCTGAGAAGTAAATTGGGAAAAGCCAGGACAAAAAATAGAAAAGTTTTGTGGGCTTTCACCAAGGAGGTTTCCTTCCGTCTAAACATTACAGTTCATAGACACCCGCATGGGCCCATAGGGCGTCAAATCAGGATAAAGAAATAAAATTCAAAAATTCATATTCAACTATGACAAATATTTATCTTTTCCACCCCGGCAGTTCAGTTTAACTTCAGATTCTCCTTTTATCATTTAATATTACAGGCTAATACCTTGAATAGTTTTAATTTGCATTTGAATTCATAATCCTGATTCGGCGCCCTATGGGCCCATGTAGGTGTCTACGAACTATAATATTTAGATGTGAGGAAACCACTATGGTGAAAACCCACAAAACTTTTATAATTCTCGTCACGATTTTTCACATATATTCATCAGGAAGCGCAGTTACACCATATTGCCATCCATGTAAACCAAACACATCATCTCTAATGGCACTAAGCATTGCTTGACCTGGTCCCTTCTTTCAGCAGCATTTCGACGGTCTTTATCATCTGGAATTGCTCCATGCAACCATAATTTAGGATCTACTGTGTTATCCTTTTGATGTCTCCATGATTGTTTATCATAGCTTCGTAGGACCGATCTTTGGCTTGTCTCCAGATCCCTGTTCTACCATTTGACCATTGGAGGCAGGAAATGATTATATGCTTGAAGTTGTGCGATTGGTAGCCACATGGACAGCCTGGACTTAATACTTCGGGTACTTTTCTTCTATATCGATACGAGGTGAGTCCCATGTGCTCACTGAGAATTTGCATTGCCAAACTACATTGGGCCCTAGTTAGTTTATGACAGAAAAAATGGTGAGTCTTGAAGATTCACCATTGTGCTGTCCAGATTTTCTACTTTGGTAAATTTTTACCGCTCTCCAAATTCCGGTATCTGCAGTTACTAGTTGCCGAGGCTTCCGAGTTCATTTCTTTTCTGCCCAGAATTTCGCACACTCTTAGTATGCCATGAGTTTCACTATCTCTGTATTGTCTTCCTGGTTTGCTGTTCACCGCACAGTCCCGTCCAGTGGGCAAGTTCTATCATTCTGCTAAGTATTCGTGTATCTTCTCTCTCCCTTTGGGCAGATTGATTTTACTACAGGCGGACTGGACTATCTTCTAGATAGGTGAGTCCTTTGAGCAACTTCAACACTGAATATTTTGTTGCTTCAAGAATATTTCGATGGGGAGGGTGGCAGTTTCATATTCCAGCACTCTCGTACTAGTGGACATGTATGCTTCTGTAACTATTTTCAGAAAAGCTACTGGTATGCTTCCGAGATGTTCAACTATCCTCTCTAGTATTTTCCCGCCCGGCTCTATTTTCAATGGTTTGGATTTGATTTCATTTAAACTGATTTGGTGCCCTGTGGGCCCATGCAGACGGCTAAGAACCTATTTAAATATTTACATGAGGGGGAAACCATTACGATAAAAATCCCCTCCCCCTATTAAATTTTATATATCTGTAGTCCTTCGTTACCTACAGGAAGTGCATTTGGCCTTAAATCCGAGACAGGACTAGCTAAAATTGTATTGAATCTCGCCATACTTTCCCTGCCCTCGCGTGCTGAAAAGTGATGGTTGTGGTCTTGAGTTTGACCCCGATGGCGCAAATAGTTGAGGTGGTGGATTAACCAGGGGCTGTTTGCGCGGGCGTCCTGGCCCTCTCTTGAATACCTCTGGCTTTTGGTTGGACACCAGTGTGAACCCTTGGTTGTCCATTTCTTTTGCCGCTGTTGTTGGTTGTGTTACCGCTGGTAAAGTTTCCTCCCTTCTTAGTTTTGCTGTTCTTTCCATGAGTTTATACCTGGCCCTTTGAACGCTGGCCTTGTATGACGCGAAGTTCGGACACGCTCCCTTCTACCACGATCTGTGGGCTTTGCCACAGTTGCAGCAAAGCACCGACTTCCTCGGGCAGTCTCTGGTCTGATGAGTGCCCGCACACTCACCACATCTTTTCGCCTTGTTGCAAGAGGCTTGAGTATGCCCCCATTCGCTGCAGTTGAAGCACTGCTTGACTTGCGCACGGGGTGACCAGAGCTAGGGCGTGTATAGCATTGAAGTGCCTCTGTCGGAAGGCTCGCGATCACCGATCCTCGAGTATGACCATTTCTTGCCATCCATTGATGCTCTTTACCGTCGTAGAGCCACCTCACCCTGTTGATTTTTAAATCTGGAATCCGAACTTTTGTCTCCTCCGTTATTTGATTTATCAATGCGCCGTTGTCGGCATTCTTTCCTCCTCGTAATAATGCCCTCAATGGGACTCCTAAAATCTCAACAGGATAATCCTGCTTTGTGGCGCTGAACTCCTTTGGTTGCGTCATTCTCAAGGCAGCGTCTCGTTGAGAGACCGACTGCACGAACACCTCAGTGTCGTTACTCCTTAGCTTACTTACAGCACATGCCTCCTCGATATGTTGTTTTGCCTTGTTAAGCAGCTCTGACGGCTGCATGTTTTCTGTCCCTCCAACTAGTATCCTTACTGCTGCTTTGGTTGCCGGCGGTGCGACGACTGAGGCATAGGTTGGTCGACCTCCCATTGTTTGTGCCGACTGAGGAGCCGCCTTGCGCGCCGACCCCTCGAGACTCTTCGTAATTGCCTTCTCTAAGGAAAGCATCCTTTTCTCAGGAAAGCATCCTTTTCTCCATTGGCTTTGCCGACATCTTAGATTATAACATCTGAGTGTGGGCTTTGAAGGCAGCAAGAACCTCATCTATTTCCACCATCGGTGCCGTAGATTTATAAGTACCCAAATTCACCTGTCTGCTTCAGACCTTACTTAGATGCGTCCCCAGTGTCTTTAAGAACTCATACTGACGCCTGTAGATGTCGCGAGAAGGTCTACAGCCGTCGTAGCGGCCGTTCCGCTGCCCATTGTTGGTTGTGGTGGTACCATGAGAAAAATTTCATCCGCGAAATCCACCCTGCTGCCTCCCCAACTCGCCGTGCCGGAGCGCAGCGGAAAAAATTCGGGGAATCAGGTAAGAAGGATTAATTAAGATGAATGCAATAATTAAAACGATGAAATAACGTTCGTGGAACGTGGTGCCGCTTTTCGTGAAAAATGATGTTCTTCTCAATGGTAATTTTGTTTTATACACTTGCTTAAAAAATCATAAAATTCATTACTTAGCGAAAGTCGTATTCAGAACTGAAAATAAGGATATGATGAGGCAAGGAATATAAGATGACTTCATTTCATATTCCCCAAAGAATTCTTTCATCAGACTGATTCCAAATAACTTGGGTTAATTTTCTGTTGGTTTAAATGCCAGGTGGATGGTCATATCAAGGGCTCAACCACTTGGATTAGCTATCTTAGTGTAGTTATAAGCTCCACTATTATTCGGTTTGATAAATGTGGCTCAGACTTGCCTTAACTGCTTCATAATTGAATAGTGAAGTCCTATATGATATTCCAGGTCTGGGTTACTGCCTGAGCAGAAACTCACAAGACGCAAGCATCGTAGATTCTTGAGACCCAAAGGGCTTCACTCTCAACTCAGTAGTATCTGCTGTCTCTCATCCTAGCCTAGAGTGAATTGAAAAAATGGCTCAACATATTAGATTTGTTCCCTTCACATTACCGATCTCCATTTTAGCAGTTCTAGATCCAAATTGAATCTACAATGGTTAGTTGCAGGTCTTAGACTTAATTTAGTTCCACTTACTGCCCGTTTTTTTTCTGTCGCAACCGAGCGTAATCCCAATTTAAAAGCAAGTAGACGTAGAACCTTCTTTCCAGCTTCTATAACTGGTTCTGACTCCACGAGGTCACATGACAGTCCAAAACCACACTTCTCCGTTATCAGAGTCTCGACTGCCCAACTCACTAGTTCTTCGTCCAAGTATGGAAATCTAGCTTCCTTACTCCAATGAGACATAACCCGGTCATCACGACCCAGGTTTCTCTTTCCAAGTCTGTTTATGTCTAGACTCAGTTCACTAAGCAATCCTTCATATCCCATTCTCCTGAATGCTGTAGAATGACGGACATATCCCCCAAAAAGCTCATCGGCACCAAGACCAGATAGAAGAATGCGGGCAGGTGTTTTATAAGGAGAACCATTAAGTGGTGACGATGACGCTAATCCGATCCCGCGCGAAGCAAAATAAAGTGCATATGCTATGGAAAGATCCATTTCAGTGTTGTGTGGATGAATCAGGTTTATAACTATCTGCCGGTGTTCTAGTGTCTCAGAGTAGGGAATGTTTACCTAAGTATGTAAGTAAACCCTTTGAATATTTTCCGCATTATTTCATACCGCTAAAAATCGCCAGGTCCTCCCTGGGCAGATACTTTGGATTTCCATTAGCGATTTTCTTCCTGTCTTTCGATCAGGACAATTCTCATAGGGGTTATTCTCTCGATCTTCATGTCCTGTTGCTGTTACATGTAGACTTGTATCCTTATTTGAAGATTGGTTTTTCGCGGCGTTTACAGCGCGAGGATTTTCAAATGCGACGTTAATCAGGTCAACATCTTCATGGGCTGGCAAGATATCGTGCACTATGCGCGCTAAAACACTGCAATCTAATCCACCCGAAAAAAGTATAGCGATACTCACTCCTGAACCTTCACTCGGATTCAACTGAAGAATATTCGATACCCTCAGCCGAACTGATTCAATGAGATGGTGTCGCAAGGATTCTACAGATGCAGATTGAAGATTGAGAGATGCGTAGGTCAATGGGATAGTACTATTGAAATTACCTAATGAAGGGTACTGATGACTATGATTAGCATATAAATAGATTAGGTATGATGGGCTGTTACTCACAATAGGTTGGTCACCATTTGTCGTCCACTGATGTTTACAAGTTTGATTGAATGGATTACTGTAATGGGGTGTAACCGGGGATACTACGTGCTCCACTAATGAAAGTTGATAAATGCCACTGGCATCAATCTCTTCCCATGGCCTAATTGTCGGGTCTGCAACGCTGCTGAGTAGGAAAGAGGCTCCATCCACGAATTTGCTACACAAAAGGGATCGTCGACCTATGCGGTCGCGGCCGAAGTATAACTGCTGATGAAGCTTATCGAAGAATACATACGCGAAAGGCCCGGATATACTGCTGATTACCTCCCTAATTGCAGTTGATGCTTTGGAACTAGATTCAGTAGAACTTGCTCTTAGAAGCAGGGAAAATAAAGCTTTACCATCATTTCCTGTAACAAGGTCTCGACCTATCTTCCATGCCTCTCCATTCCAGCATAGTACTGAGCCGCTGCTGGTGTCAAAAAATGGCTGGCTATTTATATCGTTACCCCTCAGCGCCAAGACTGTAGAATTAAAGGAGAGGTAGTAAGATTTGCCATTGTTTGCCTCTATTTGGACTTCCTTGTAACCAGCGTAATCGGTACCTCTGTTACATAAGAGCTTTTCTAATTCCTTGCCTGGCTTTACATATTCGGACTCAGCTATAGAAACATATATTCCACACATGTTACAGTATCTTTAAATTTTTGTGAAGGCGTGGTTAATGGATGGATGATAATTATGATGCTTCCACTTCTAGGTAATGACCTGAACAACATACTCGCTTCGCCTTGAACAACGTCAGAATCGATTTAGTAGAATTGAACTTCCCAGCATGAAAAAAAACTGTAGAATGCTTCCAAAATTTCAGATCTTACGTTGAATCTCTACGCAAAGGTTTGTCCCGTCAACCGATCTCAACCTAACGAAGCTACTAATTACAACATTCCCGACTATTTGTCGCAACAATAAGGACCTAGAAATCATATTACCAGGTTATGTCTACTCCTAGCAAAGTAAGGAGTGATTCAGGAAGCATTTACGATGGTTCTACTGAAGTGCAGATAGATCTAGGGGATCAAGATTTACCTCAGAGTGGTAGCAATAGTTTGGCACTGCTGAACGACCATCATTTAGAAAGCTTATCGATTGAGGATGGAAATCCTTATATCCTTGAGGACGATAAGCCACCTGCGTATCAATCAGCCAGATCTGTAGACCAACAAGCAAATCCAAAACATGATACTACGAAATCAACTTTACCAATATCTTCTCGTACCTCAGAAGATATGAAGTCAAACACAAGAAATTCACCTCTAAGTGATAAGGAATTTCCTGAAGCTGCTACTAAAAACACGCATGCAACGCAACTACATACAAGAAAGGGGCTTTCAACGTACACACGCAGTGAGAAAGAAAGATCTCCTACAAGATCTGATGCAGGGTTTGATGAGAAGACTTCGATTAGTGGAGATGATAGGGACGATGAATCAAGATCTGAGATACAAAATATAATGGACCAATTCAGCGAAGAAGGCCATGGCCCCGGACATGAAGAAGTCATGTCACCTAGGCTAGAGGTTGCTGGACCACTTCTTGGAGGGTCTCTACAACACCCGCCAAGAAAGTCAAGCCTAGAAGCTTCAAATCCCCCTACACAGTGTTTCCGAAGCCAACAAATATCCAACACAGATCTAAGAAAAGAAGTTACTGATCTATCTGACGTTGGTCCAGCCGTCCCACCAAAATCTGGCACAATTAGTAATACTGTGCCCCCCCGTTTTTCTGAAGAGTTACAAACATCTCAAACCCCTATGTCACCATCATTACATCGGCCACCTCCGCCAGAGCCCGAACCGGAACCGGATCTCCCATTTGATTTTCATCGATTTTTGGAACAGTTGCGGCATCGAACAGCTGATCCTGTCGCTAAATTCCTTCGATCCTTTTTACAAGAGTTTGGCAAAAAGCAATGGATGGTACACGAACAAGTTAAAATAATAAGTGATTTCTTAGCCTTCATAACAAACAAGATGGCGCAATGTGATGTATGGTGTGAAGTTTCCGATGCCGAATTTGATAATGCAAGGGAGGGTATGGAAAAGCTAGTCATGAATCGGTTATATACGCAAACTTTCTCGCCTGCAATCCCGCCGGCTCAGCCAATTACAGCTTCTAAGCATAGAAGAAGAGGTCCTGAGCGTCTAATGGGGCCTGGACGAAGAGGTCAACATCAAGAGGATGTTGAACGGGACGAAATTCTCGCACAAAAAGTCAGTATATACGGATGGATTAAAGAAGAGCACTTGGATATACCGTCCGTAGCTGAAGGGGGTAAAAGTTACCTCAAACTAGCTCAGCAAGGTAAGCACTAGATCCTAAATGAAAGCTTTGTTTAAACTAACTATTGAAAATAGAGCTACTCAAGATAAAGACCTATCGCGCACCACGTGACAAGATAATTTGTGTCTTAAATTGTTGCAAGGTAATTTTCGGTATGAAGTGGATAAGGGATCAGTATTTTTTCCTACTCTAATATAATTAGGACTCCTCAGGCACTCTAAGTTCGACTCTTCTGCAGATTCTTTCATGCCATTACTCATATATGTTGTTCTTCAGGCAAACCCAGAGCATCTGGTATCGAACGTGCAATATATTTTGCGATTCAGAAACCAGGAGAAGCTAGCAGGGGAGGCAGGATATTATTTATCATCTCTGGTATTTCTGACTGAGAACCCAATTAGTACAATACTAACATATAAAAATGCCAGCTTGGGGCTGTTCATTTTATAGAAAACTTAGATCGGACAACACTAACTATCTCTGATGAAGATTTTGAAAAGAATGTCGAGGCTGCTGTATCAGCTATTGCAGAAAAGCATCAAGCTCAAATAGAAGATTCTTTGCCCTCCACAGAAACATCAGTAGATAATCAGGATACTGCAACTCATCAATTGAAAAATATTGAATACTCAACACCAAGAAAGAAAAGTGTCGGCGATTACGACAATGGTTCCACGACTGATGAGAAAGTTGCCATTGGTGGTTTACTACGTTCTATTCAACGGCCTTTATCCTCAATTGGTCGCATGTTCTCAGAAGATATAGCACTTGCTCAAAATAATTCTCAAACTGGATCTGTGCGAACAACACAAGCAAGTTACACGCAAATCTCAAGGCCTGCCTCACCATCTATCTCAAAGGATTGTTCACAAACTACACCTCAAGCAACCGAATCACAAAATATACCCCCTCACATCAGTATACAAACCGGAGTAGAATTAAACGAGGTTTCAGGCTCTGGGATGCCAGAAGTTCGGCATGCGCAGCGAACTGATTACGCAAATGTTGTGGAAACATTGGCTGGAATGTTTCCAGATCTTGATAGAGATGTAATAAGTGATGTTGTCACTCAGAAGAACGGAAGGTAGGCTTAACTCCCATTGCTATTCTAAGCTTACTTGCGGTAGGGTTGGCCTTGCAGTTGATGTCTGTCTTGCCCTAAACTCTTAAGGGGACTAAAAGAAAGCTTTAATAAAATTTAGGAGCCAGTTTTTATTTGATAGTTAGCGTTTTATAGGTGTTCTATTATTTATCATAAAAATTCGTTGAATGCATTCGGCATAAATATATATTACTTGCAAAAAAATCAGTGAAAATAGCTACATTTAATAAATCTCAATTTGGTAGAGTTTCAACACTTAAACCGTGATTCTGAAATTCAAAAGCCTTCCACAAGAAAACCAATAGAAAAGTATTCTCTATTTGAACAGATAAGTGGGTATTTCTGGAGTGCAACCTAACTTGTGATAGATTCATTCTATACACTTTTATTTGAATTCACGGTCCAGTGAGGAGCAATGTGTTGATTTATTGAGTTTCTCCTATGAGCGCATCCAAAAATATTGTGGTGCAGGAAGAAGGATGGAGATTATTTATCTTGAATGTAATGAAATTCAGAGACGTATCTGGGCATGGTTGATGACCTCGGTCACTAATTTTGTAGCATAGGTCACGTAATACAACTTGATAAGTTTTCAATGATCGCCCTTGAAGCCACCAATATACTTTTTATCTAGACAAAGATAAAGCCAATTATCTACTGTTACGGCAACCCATTACAACAAGTCCCAGCTGTACAGCTAAATTTCGGAAACTAACGATAAACCGGCATGAAATGACATGTTTATTCAAATGTATAACCCACTACTTAGTTCGTGGACTTACTGGTAGAGGGAAGCTTATGCAATAATGAAGGATAAAAGAATTTCAATACGACTACTCTACTAAACACAGATACCAGACTCCTTTTAATCCCAATAGACAACCCGTGCGGGATCTCTTATTAACAGCAGTAAACAACGCTAGCACAGGGTATACGCAAAGTCCATTCGCCAAACACCAGTCAGTCGGGACTACTAATTATCGAGTCTAGAAAGATCAACAAAGTGTATCCCAACACAGAAATAATAGAAAGCTCAACAACCAAACCCTTCATCAAAACAATTCGAGAAGCCCCCAATTTGCCCATTCCCACCCTTTTATCCATCTCACCCTCTGAGGAACGAATCGAATCGCAATTGTTTGCCATCGGCGGCATCTTAAAATGCCTCCGACGCGTAAAACGCACTAAAACACGATCAGCGGCATCACCAAAGATCGCGCCAACAAACCTTATCAATGGCATACCGCCATTCAAAACCACGCAAAGAACATGCTATCAAGGCGAGGACTCGAGTCCAATCTTCAAAATATGAACACCATCGCGGCTGCGCTCCAAGCGAAGGAGAACGATGTCCCCGAGGTAGATATGGTGGACGCAGAAGTCGAGAAGTTAAAAACCCTCGCCGATTCAGTTTGGGCATCCTCCAGCCCAGAAGACGCAGAGCAAGTCTTGGATCCCACCGGATCCCCCAGAAAAACCGTCGTCGCACCCGAGAAGCGCATCACGGTTCCAGCACTACCGCGTCCTGCAGAAGTGAGGCCCGCGAAAAGGGCTGAAATACCATCCACTAAGGCAGCAGGAGCCGAAAACCCTCCACTGGCCCCGCAGCCTCCAGCACTAGAAGCAGCAGGCGGAAAAAATACGTACCCTCCAGAATTGCTTGCAGCGATCGAAGCGGAGGAGCGCAGGGCAAGAAAAAAAGCCGCGCTACTCACAATATGCTCGACGGCTATTAGCGGTGTCGAGGCAGCTCTTCAACCGCTCTCCACCGGTGAAGACAAAAATTTTGTAGACTCCATAAAGGTCTACCTAAGGGCAGCAATCGCGCAATTCGTGGCGGCCGGGCCAAATACCGCTCCGCCAGTCCTACCCCAACGACCAAATGTCGCGACTCCCCCTGCGACCGTCATCCCAGTAGCCGTTCCCCGTAATATTACAAAGGCTACTGCACCTCTTCAGCCCAGAAGCACCTGGGCCACTGTCACCAGAGCAGGACACCAAAAGTCAGGAGCACAGGCTCCTGCAAACATCACCTCGTCTGCAGCTGCCCCATCAGTCAGGAAAATAGAGAAGAAGCCGGCAGCAGCAACAACAACATCGAAAGATGACCGACTCTTCCTGCGTCTGGATGCAAACCACGAGTGGAGACAGCTCTCTCTAGCTGGCGTTCGCGAAGCCGTGGCTAAACAAACACATTACACCCCTTCTGATATCGACCAGGTGCAACGCGTTCCCACGGGGTTTGCCATCCGTGCCAAAAGCCCGGATGCAAAATCCCGACTGCTGGAGGCCTCCAGCACCTTCGCACCAGTGGAGGCAAAACTAGAACCACCAAGTGATCTAGTTTCCCTCCGGATTGCTACGGTTCCAGTCGGCGTGTTCGGCCTAGAAGGACGAATCGAAGTCACTCCCGAAATGGTTGCCGCAGAGATCTTCAGGGTAACTAACTACACTCCAGACCGAGTGAGAGTTCACGGTATAACCAAGCTCGGGGCTCCCTACAGATCCTGGGCGGCTCTCTTCCTAAAAGAAGCTAGCCCATAGCCGGGCTTCAGGCTCTTTGACGACTCAGGAGTCGCTACAATCCAACGAAACCGCCCTCCCATACAGCAGTGTAGGCGATGTCTCGGTTTCCACGCCACCCGCGGATGCTCTCGTGCACCCGCCTGCTGGAACTGTGGATCCACCATGCATTCAGCCTTCGAGTGTAAAGCTCCAACTGTCACGGCACGGCATTCTGCTCCGCCATGATATACAATTACGTGGAGGGAGGATGTGAGACTGATGGCTGATGCAGGAAGGAGCACGGACGCGGCGATTTAGTGGAAACCCGCCCGAATAGGAATAGCCTCAGGGCTTTTTGTAATGAGATCCTGTTCTTTTCTATTCTTCTCCAGCTTAGTATTTGCTTCACAGATTGAATTATCGCCATACAAGCTGTACTTTCACTTGTGCCTATTCTACGCCGCGACATAATACTAAGCTCCCTAAACTACTCAACGCGACCTCTGTAGAGAGGTAAAATACTAATTTCAGACTCAGTAATCTGTGGACAGCGTTTCGCTCACGATTATCTGGACAGTCATTGGCTAATTGTCTCGCTAATAAAGGAAAGCAGAAGATGCCAGGAGAGTGGCCGAAGGAAGACTTCACAACCTCGGTGTACGCCACCCGCGCACCCGGGGAAGAGGAGGACCTCACTACGAAGATTGATGTTCCATGGTATCAGAAAGTCACTTTTGAATTGTTGGACAAGGATTACAACAAGAGAAACAAACGCCGCGCTGCTGAAGTCAAGAAGGAGACTGATCAAGAACGTCACGAACATACCCTTAAGACTATGTGTACCGCCCTGGCTGATCGCGCCAACAACATCAGCAACTACCTTCGAGATACATTGGAGCAGAAGGCAGAGGCAGAGAAAATGGCACAATCCTGGGCGGAGGAAGCTGAGCGCTGGAAGGCTGCATTCGCAGAGGTCACTCTAGATCTCAAGGCCAAGGATAAGGGTAAGCAGAAGGAGGAATCCAAGTCGGTGCGAGGATCTGCAGCCTATAACACTGTTGAGAAAGACGCTGCCGGCTGTGAGGCCTCAGAGATACCACCAAGATACAAAGAGGTCCGTGACCCACAGGCTAAGCAACTCCGCCACCGCCAGAAGATTGAGAACCCACCCACCTTCATGGGTTCCCATAATCCTACTTTCGAGAACTGGGAACACGCTGTTAAGCGCAAGTTGAACGGCGACTCGATCTACTTTGATGATGAAAACCACAAGATCAATTACCTCTTGGGCTTTATTGGTGGTGATGCACAGGAATTCATAAAACCCTACCTCGAGCCAGAAAGCGTCAACCACATCACTGTTGCGATGTCTATCGTCGAAGTTATGCGAGGAGCCTACGGCAAGACCCGAGGACAGAAGCGCTCCGAAGCTCGTGCCAACTTCAAGAAACTCCGACAAGGGGATGACAGCTTCTCAGCCTTCTTCACTAAGTTCCTGACCTTCGCTTCTCAATTGCAACTTAGAGACGAAGACCGCATGGATGAACTTCGCGAAAAGATGAGTCCCAAGTTGCAAAATGTCATAGCCGGATTGGATTTTGAATCTACCTTGGAGATGTCTCAACACTGCTTGAAAATAGAACCACACCTGCAATTAGCGCGCAAATCGGAGGATCAAGCCGCTCGCTACCAACAACGCAAGGACAGGTACAAGAAGCCAATTCTCCCGCCGGGCCTAACTCGTACTGCACCTCCAAGAGCGTCTGGTCCACCCAAGCCAAAAGTCTTGGCCCGAAACGCTGGTGTCTGCTTCCATTGCCACAAGACTGGTCACTACGCTAACGCGTGTCCTACTGCTAAAGTCAATGAGGTGGATGCGAAGAAGAAGGAGGAAGCTGAAGCATCTGGATCGGAATTCACCATGAGCTCCGATGAGGGAAAAGATTGTCTCTAGGAGAAGTCGCCTTCCTAGAGAATAACACGTATCGAGTAAATGGCATTGATTTGGAAAATTTGTTTGGCGGAAGGCCATTAGTTATAGATTGTACTCTTGAAACTAAAAACAATTCCCAATTTCCAATCTCTGCCCTCATTGATACCGGCGCTAATGGATATGCCTTCGCAGATCGTAAACAACTGCGTGATTGGTACCGAAATAGTAAGATTAAGATGACGCGCTACAATCTCCGTCATCCACTCTCTATCAGAGGCTTCGACGGCGGATCATCCCGACCTCTACGCCATGCCTACGTGATGACACTGACTATAGACTCGCACCGAGTCAACATGCCGTTCTTTGCTACCACACTTGGTAACAAGAACAATGTGATCCTCGGTCGGCAGTGGCTGGCCTATCATAACGTACTCCCAGATTGCGTGCGACACCGGCTGTGGTGGCCAGAAGACCGCAATGATCATCAGTGGGACGCTAACCGTCGTGACCGACTGATTGAACTGCCCCCTCTAGAAATCAACAAACCTCCTGCTAAAAGATCTCCACGTTTTATGCCAAAGCAGATATTGAAACGCCCTGCAATGGTAGCAGAAGCGCCGGCGACCCCTT